TTTTCTTTTGTTTTGTTTTCTCTTCATTCAGTTTCATGAGGTATTCTTCATTCTAACCTAAAGAGCTTGGTAACTCCCACAAATGTGCAGGGATCTACTTTATTTCTGCTATTCATTCTCTCTTCCTGGAAATGTCTTCTTTCATCATGTATCTTGTCCAGTTCTCTTCCCCATCCAGGCCGCAGAGGCATTACCTGCCTCCTCGATAGCATTTCCAGTGCACACCAGGCTGAGTTAGGGACTGTTCTCATGGGTTCCCAATATTCACTATACATATCTTGAGCTTGTCATTATATTACACTTTAAATATTGATGTCTTCTACATGATTAGTCTGCAAAGGAGACTAGAATGATATTGCTAAGCATTGAGTTTTGTCTACCAAGATAAAGTGTTGAATTTCTAGCCCTGTGTAACTTTAAATGGAACCTATTTGGAAATATGATCTTTACAGATATAATTAAGTTAAGATGAGTTAGCATTCCATTAGGATGAACCCACTCCAATATAATGAGGTTTCCTTACAGAAAGAGAAGAAGTAGAGAGAGACAAATGAGGGGAGAAAGCCCTGTGTCAATGTCACATGGAGGCAGTGTGCCCATCTCTGGGAGTCAAAGACTGAAGAGCTGATGCTGAAGCTGAGGATGACAGGGATGAACAGACATCCAGAAGTGGGAAGAGAAAATGGAGGATTCACAGGAAGTCTGTCCCATGCCACATCTTCACTGCAGACTTCTATCTTCTCAAACGATGACAGAATACGCTTCACTTTTTTTAAGCTACCCAGTTTCAGTTCTTTGTTATAGCAGCCCTAGGAAACTAACAAGCATTGACATCCATGGTGCCTTGTGCAATGCCAGCAGTGTGCAAATTTATATTGTGTAAAATTGTAAATCATTTATAAAGATATCAAAAGAAGGCCACAAGCATATTCTTATGGGAACTTACTATTTATCTTTTTCATGTACTACTTTATTCAATCCTCCATTCCCAAAGCAGCCTCTCCCTCTCTCATCCATCAGTCCTGAGTGAAGCAACTTTTAGAACATGATTCTGGATTTGGCACACTGTCAAGTCTTACTGAGGTCTAGCTTCCATCAACTTTGCCAATAAACTTAATCACCTCTTCAAGTTGCTTCAATAAATTGGCCTTCTTTCCCCATAGGAGATTGTATCACTTTATATCAAATGCAGAAGTAGCTTCTAAGCACTTGAGTATCACACCTCTCTATGGAGGAGTGCCTCTGCACAGGCAGGATGCATATACTGTAGTGTCCCAGTACAGTAGAGACCTCCTTGCCTATGTCAATGGGGTCTAAGCTTCCCCAGAGTACATTATGAAGAAGGAAACAACAGAGATTCACATTTGGTGCATTCTACAACTGAAACCTGACCATCTTCAGCTTCAGGGTATCTATTTGTGGGTTTGTGTTGCCTTTTCCAGAGAAACTCCCACAGATCTTTAGAGAACTCTAAAAGAGGAAGATCAGAAAGACCACTTGGCCCTAGCTGGGCCACAGGCACTTAGTTGACTGGCAAAAGGTTGAGAAAGAACCCAGGTTTACTGCCTCCCAACACTACTTGTACATTTTGTGTTATTGAAGCTGAGGGAAAACCTGAAAAATCTCTCTAGATTTAATGCCCTGCACTTACATTTAGTTGATTTTAAAATTCACAAATTTTAAAGGTCAGATATTTAGGCAATATATTATTATACTTGCATTAGCTTTGCTACAGATAACACCTCTGACATGTGGGTCTTTATGCTAACTGTTGCTTAAGTTGTTTATCCAGAACCTGGAGGCCACTTTTGTCTAGCTCAAACAGGTTGAAACTAAACATTCTTCAATTGGAGCAGCTTGCAAGTGTTTGATGGGTGACATTTTGACATCAGAAGGCCAGAACTCTATCCTCAGAGAGCACTGACTGCCACACACTGATGCTGCTGTTTGCACATCCATCCTAGGAGGAACCATAAAGATTGAGCATACATGAGTAGATCATGGCTCCCTCATTTCTCTTTACCTCAATTTTCCTTTTCTACTCTTTAAAACACCATGCATCTTTATTCCCAAAATACCCTTAAACTTTATCCTGGAGGTGGTAGATGGAAACTCTCTGCTTTCCATCCTTGGCCACTTCATGAATAAACTTTCTCTTGCAAAACTTGTTTTCAAGGAGTGGCCTACTGCATAGTGGGCAAAACAGGCCAGAGGTATGGTTCAGTAACATTATTATCACTGTTGCTAAAAAAAAAAAAATTACAGAAAACAGAAGCTTTGTATTTTTAGCAACCAGAACTGAAGACAAAGTAATCTTCCTTCTTTCATTTCCTTTCTCCCTTCTCCCTCTACTCTTTTCCTGTCTGTATTCTTGCACCATTTTATTACACTTTTCATAGTGTCAAAAGTCTCTCATGGAACATGGAAGATTTTAAGATTTAAAGTAGAAAGATGCATTCTTGATCACCATTGCATTCATGAATTAGAAAATTATTTTCCAACTAAAGATGATAATTGTCAATTCAACCTACACACAGCTTTGCTTTCATTTCTATGAAGATTTTTGGAAAAGTAAAGCAAAAAACAAAAAACGAAAATAAAAATTTACCCATCTTGCAATGGCGTGCAGCTAAAGCAATCATATTCAAAAGACATGTCTAGCTATACACATAAAGATTACCAATTCAGGACACAAGTAGATGATAAGATTCCTCCAAAATTATGCCACAAAACAGTAGGCTTTTAATACACACTTATAATCTCCTTTTGCCATGCTTGGACAAACTATCAAATATAAGCCTTAAGAAGTAAAGCAGAGAGTTCTGTGTTTTTGACTTACATTGTTTCCATGAATATGAATGCTTTAATCTTTTCTATTGTGCATATTTTAATTTAAAAATATACTTAAATGTAGTTGGGAAAAACCTACATTTGGACACTAAAATATAAATCCATAATTAAATATATATATATGTATGTATAAAACATACACATTCATAGAAAAAGTCCCTCCAAAATTCTAAGACTGCAATAACAATGGCAAGCTCTAGATTTTGCAGTGTAGCTTTAACATTTCCTTTATATTTTTCCCTTTTCCTCAAATTTTCTACAATTAACATGTATTACTTATATATCAAAAATTTTAAAACACTGTTTAAGCAAAATATATGCATTGCAAAGTTTCCAGTTAATGTTTCAGTGATATGGATTATTATTAAGCTGAGGGCTGTACTTGCTTTCTGAAACTTGACTGGTAGTTGCAGAATTTATTACCTGAGCAAGTCATGAAATTCTTATATTCTCTTTCTTTCCATGTAACATGGAAATGAAACACCTATCTGTCTCAAATTTTTGCTTGATAACTAAAAGATATTTGTAAATTTAATATTTGAACTTGATGTGTCTAAACTGGATACTTGAACTTAAAAAGTTCAGTCCACAGAAAAAATGGCAGGCACTCAGTAATTGGTAGCCATTGGAACCACTCTTATTACTACTTGTGACACCTGGCATGTCACACCTGGTCACTTAGCAGCAAGCATTTACCTTACACTTTTTTTTTTTTTTTGGTAAAATATCGACAAGGGACAATTTGCATCTGATTTGTTTGGAAAGCTTAGGGAAAATGAATTTACTGAATTTGAATTTCTGAGTTTGGGAATTCTACATTTTCAGTAAGAATCCATGTGATGATTATGTTTTGAAAATAAGCAAGATCCATTCAGAAGTCTAGGTTTTGACCATGATGTAGAATATGAAAAGTTACTAGAACCATGAAAAGAAAGCAATGGTATCATTTCTAGTTAGTGTTAGGGCTGTTGAAAAGCAGCTAGCAAACATCCATTTGGAGAGAAATGCTAGGAAACTGCCTCCAATTCCAGGTAACTAGCATTTTCTAAGAAAAAGTCTGGCCCTTTGTTGAGCAAGTTGCTAAGTTTCCTTAATCATCATCTCTTGCCATGGTTTGCTTGTGCTTCTGCCTGCGGCACTGCAGACAGTGTTCCCGCTTGCCTCATGAACAATAGCCACTCTGTCTTATTTCTCTGAGTATCCTCAGTGTCCAGGAAAGTATCTGGAGTTCCATAAATGTGTTTGCCTCGTTGCAGAGAAGCCTGGGGCAGGAGTACTTAATGAGACTTAAGAGGCTGCTACTTTCCTATTTCAGTTCATGTTGCAGCTGGCATCTCTGAAGACCAGTGTGTGAAACAAACAAAAAAAAAACATGTATTGCCAATTAATGACACTCAAAATGTAGGAGTGCTAACCTAGATGAATGTTTAATTACTTGTTACATCAAGATTTGACACTGTGGAATTATATTTCAGAGTAACTTTTTGATCAGGTGTCATTTCTAAATTCTTGTGATAATTGCCTCATTCTACGTCCTGCACTTTAGAAAGACATAAGCTATCATGAGATTGCCAGGAAAAAGAAAAACAACTTATTTTTGTTGTTGTTTTTGTTAGGCATCTATGGGATAGCCAGCCTGGCTAGCTGATTTAGCACACATGATTGCCTTTAATCATTACAACTCTAGGGGTGGGAACCATCAATCCCATTCCACTGGGAAAGAATGACATCAGAAAGAATGATGACTCACCCAGATACACAGTCCTCAGAGCCAGATAGGAAGGGAGCTTTCTACCTTACTGAATCAGGGCTTCCCATTGATTTTTATGTTTTATTTTTTGTTTGTTTGTTTCCCCTTTCTTTATATTTTTAAGTTTTAACACACAAAATGTCTTTGGCAGGTCCTACAGAAAACACTTGATAATTAATTCTTAGTCCAGTGAAACATCATCAAGATCATTGACAGGTTTTCTTCTTGCTCTCTCCCAAAAATAACCTAGCTGATAATACCTGTCATTTAACAAAATATCACCTCTAACCCCTCAAATTTGGCCATTTGAACTTTTATTTACACAGGTTTCCCCTTCCAGTGAATTTCCTTTGCTTTGTACCATTAAGTGGCCAGATGAAGTGCTAATGGGAACTCTTACCAGTGATATTGCAGTACACTTGGAGAGGTCCCAGTGGTCCACTGCCATCCAAGTCAATGTAGAAGAAGCCAGCTGCATTCCCTCGGTGTCTGTACACCTCACAGGATTGCTCATACATGGCTGAGAAGACACAAGGCAACACAAGAAACTTTGCTTAGGTCTGCATATTTCTCTGTAGGTGTGTAACTTCTACTTAGGTTGACTTCCCATGTTTCTTCCTACCCCTTCTTTTTCTACGGTCTCAGCTTCTTCACACCCACTGCACCACCAAGTCTTTATTTAAACCACTGTTCTGATGCTTCATGGAGTTGCATTATTCATTGATCTTAACTCACTTATTCTTCTAAAATCAGCTCAGGGGTTAAATGTACTCTAAAGTCTCTTCTTACCTCTTACATGTCCCCACTCTTTGCGGATATCCTTCTAGCCCCCACAGTGCATTACAGAATCTGTAAAAGTAGTGGCCATGTGTCACTCTATGTTGTAAACCAGTATCTAGCAGGATTCCGCACTTACAGCAGGGGCTCTACAAATTTGTGACTAGTGAATTAAAAAATGCACACATAAACTTATGCATTTTTACTAATAAATTACAAGGATGCTGTCTTCCTTGTATATACTCAAAAGGTCAGCACAGTAACTAACATAGAATAGGTACACATTCAAGCTCAGTCCATTCTCACTTAAGAAGCATTTGGTTTCCTAATGCATGTCAACAGATGTGATTACCCCAGAGGACAGAACCATGGATGAAACAATCAGACTATGCCCTGAAACCTCACAGCCCACTGGCAGCCACAGAAATCTTTGTGTATTTATTTAGGGACAGGGACAGGTATTCCAAAATGGGGGCCTTTCACCAATCTGCAAGTTTGAGAAATAAATAAATTTCATTAAACCAACATGAATGAATTTGGAGGCTTGTAAAGGAGACATGTGCTATCCCATGTTTAAAGAAATGAAAGTATCTGACACTTCAGAAAAAGTACTATAGTTCAGAGTCCCAGGAATATATCCAACCTTGTCACCTAGCCATGCTTAAAACACTTCAGTGGCTCCCAACAGCTTCTAATATATAGTACAAGCTCCTCACCTTAGCTGACTCCTGCCCCTTGTGACTAATGCCCCATCCCAGGAATATGAAGCAGCAGTTTGTCATGATCAAGTGTGAGGTGTGTCTCAAATAACTCATTACCAGCAAAGTTCTGAAGCATGAGAGGGTTTGACTTTTTATAAATTAGAGTAAATTCAAGGTTATGCTTGTACTTGTGGAATTTTCTTTTGCTTTCCTATATACTTTCCAAAACAGAAGGCAAAAGAGAACGTCATAGTTTGTGCCTTATTTACAAAGCATAAGAAACAGCATATGTAAGTTTGTTAAAACCCTACAATGCACTTGGGTTTGTGTCATATATGTGAAGTTCAATACATATTTGTGTGCTCCTTACCCCAACACTTCCATATGATAATCAAGTACAAGGAGTCGTGGTTATCTCATGAAAGGTAAATATTTGTCTGTGGTTAAGAATATGGCCCAAAAAAATATCTGTCTGTGGTTGAGAATATGGCCCCCAGAATCAAATTGGGTAGTTTTGCAGGGTGAAGCTATGACTAACAATCTTGGGCAATGTACTTCAGCTGTGCGAGGCATCTCTTAAGGCAACTCCTATGATGAACACTTTCTGGTGTTCTTGTTCTGTTCATGAATTCATACTTTTCCTCCTACTGCACTGTATCTGTTGACTTGCTCTAACAAATACAATGTGACAGAAATAATACATGTCATTCTCAAGATTAGATTGTAAAAAGACAGTGGCTGCCATCTGGAGAGCTCCTACAATTCTCCTTGTGGTAGAAGCCACCTTCTATAAGAGAAGAGAGTTCCGTGAATAGGCTGATAGGAGTAAATGTAGAAGCTTCTGCAGAGTGAGCCCTGAAGTAAATCCCTACAAAGCAGGCCTGAAATGATTGCAGCCCTGGCCAGCATCATGGTTGTGGCTGTAGGAGAGATGGGGCCAGAACTACCCTGCTACACTGGTCTCAGATCCAGAGAAACCAGGTGATGATGTGGTTTTCCCACATGCTAAATTTTGCAATGATGGATTACAACATCATTAATTTTCTTATCTGCCTACAGGTCTAAAAAAAGCCTACCTCATACTGTCCAAGTAAGAAGTAAGGATCAAAAGTGAAAATCAACATATGACACACAGCACTTACTTGATAAAAATGTACTTAGTATTCCCATCATTTCATATTACTTTATTTATTTATTTAGCCCATATTGGGATATGAACTCAGTGTTTCATGCTTCTAGGCAGGCAATCAACCACTTGAATCATGCCTTTCAGCACTTTTTGCTCAGGTTATTTTGGAGATAGGGTGTTGTGTATATCCCAGGCAAGTACTGACTGCAATCTTTCTATTTTATTCTTCCCGCAGTAGTTGGTATGACAGATAAGAGCACTGTGCTCAGCTTTTTCCTTTAAAATATACTTTTGCAAACTTTTTTTTGTCCAAGCTAGCCTGGCCAATCTAAGCCTCCCACATAGCTTGAGCTGACAGGCATGTGCCACCACACCCAGTTATTGGTTGACGTGGGGTCTTGCAAAGTTTTATGCTGGCAGGAATGTCAGGTAGTACAACCACTATGGAAAACAGTATGGAGGCTCCTCAAAAAACTAAACATAGATTTGCCACTCTTAGGGATATACTTGAAGGAATGTGAATCAGATTATAACAAATGCACCTGTACACGCATGTTTATTGCAGCACTATTCACAATAGCTAAGCTATGGAAACAGCTAAGATGCTCCATAACTGATGAATGGATTTAAAAATGTGGTATTAAGAGGCCACGAATAGCCAAGGCAATACTCAGTCAAAAGAACAATGCTGGAGGTATCACAATACCTGACTTCAAACTATATTACAAAGCAATAACGATAAAAACAGCATGGTACTGGCACAAAAACAGACATGAAGACCAGTGGAACAGAATAGAGGACCCAGATATGAAGCCACACAACTATAACCAACTTGTCTTTGACAAAGGCGCTAAAAATATATGATGGAGAAAAGCAGCCTCTTCAACAAAAACTGCTGGGAAAACTGGTTAGCAGCCTGCAAAAAACTGAAACTAGATCCATGTATATCACCCTATAACAACATTAACTCAAAATGGATCAAGGATCTTAATATTAGACCACAAACTCTAAAGTTGATACAGGAAAGAGTAGGAAATACTCTGGAGTTAGTAGGTATAGGTAAGAACTTTCTCAATGGAACCCCAGCAGCACAAAAACTAAGAGACAGCATAGATAAATGGGACTTCATAAAACTGAAAAGCTTCTGCTCATCAAAAGAAATGGTTTCTAAACTGAAGAGAACACCCACAGAGTGAGAGAAAATATTTGCCAGCTACACAAGACAAAGAACTGATAACCAGAATATATAGGGAACTTAAAAAACTAAATTCTCCCCAAACTAATGAACCAATAGAGAAATGGGCAAGTGTACTAATCAGAACTTTCTCAAAAGAAGAAATTCAAATGGCCAAAACACACATGAAAAATTGCTCACCATTTCTAGCAATAAAGGAAATGCAAATTAAAACCACACTAAGATTCCACCTCATCCCTGTTAGAATAGCCATCATCAGCAACACCACGAACAACAGGTGTTGGTGAGGATGCGGGGAAAAAGGAACCCTCTTACACTGTTGGTGGGAATGTAAACTAGTACAACCACTCTGGAAAAAAATTTGGAGGCTACTTAAAAAGCTAAACATTGATCTACCATTTGATCCAGCAATACCACTCTTGGGGATATACCCAAAAGACTGTGACACAGGTTACTCCAGAGGCACCTGCACACCCATGTTTATTGCAGCACTATTCACAATAGCCAAGTTATGGAAACAGCCAAGATGCCCCACTACTGATGAATGGATCAAGAAAATGTGGTATCTATACACAATGGAATTTTATGCAGCCATGAAGAAGAACGAAATGTTATCATTTGCTGGTAAATGGATGGAATTGGAGAACATCATTCTGAGTGAGGTTAGCCTGGCCAAAAGACCAAAAATCGTATGTTCTCCCTCATATGTGGACATTAGATCAAGGGCAAACACAACAAGGGATTGACTTTTGAGCACAGCGAGAGCACACAAGGGAGTATGAGGATAGGTAAGACACCTAAAAAATTAGCTAGCATTTGTTGTCCTCAATGCAGAGAAACTAAAGCAGATACCTTAAAGCAACTGAGGCCAATAGGAAGGGGACCAGGAACTAGAGAAAGGTTAGATCAAAAAGAATTAACCTAGAAGGTAACACACATGCACAGGAAATCAATGTAAGTCAACTCCCTGTATAGCTATCCTTATCTCAACTAGGAAAAACCCTTGTTCCTTTCTATTATTGCTTATACTCTGTTTTCAACAAAATTAGAGATAAGGGCAAAATAGTTTCTGCTGGGTATCCAGGGGGTAAGGGGGAGAGGGAGGGGGCAGTGTGAGTGGTAAGGGAGGGGGTGGGGGCAGGGGAAGAAATGACTCAAGCATTGTATGCACATATGAATAATAAAAAAATAAAAATTAAAAAAAATAGGTATGGGATTTTACAGAATGCTTTCTGTAAATAAAAATAAATAGATAAATAAATAAATAATAAAAAAATAAAAATGTGGTATTGATACACAATGAAATTTTACTCAGTCACAAAGGAGAATGAAATTTTGTCATTCACAGGTAAGTGGATGGAACTGGAGAACATCATCTTAAGTGAAGGTAGCCAGGATCAGAAGCCAAAAGCCACACATTCTTCCTCATATACAGATTATACACCTAAAACAAATGCAGCAATATTATGGGGCACAGGTCACACTAAAGGGAAGGTTGCTTATGGGAGGGATAACACAAAGGAAGGCAACCAAAAACTTGAATGTGGTTGATGTGTTCACTGTACAGAAATGAATATAGAAATCTCAAACTGGCCAGGGCCATCACAGGAAGTGGACTAGGATAGAGTGAAGAGGACTAGAAGAGATGAACCCTTTGGGGCTATAATGTGGAGAGCAAAATATGAGAAGCCTATAAGAATTTGGCATAAGCACAGTTG